GCGGCGCGCGGGCGCCGAGGTGCATCCAGCGCGGCAGCTTCACGAGGGGCTCGGCCGGGGGCGGCGGCGGCGGCGCGCCGTCTTCTTCGCCGTCGCCGGCGCCGGGCGCGGGGGAGCGGCGCGCGCGGTGGTGCGCGTGCACGCGGGCGGCGCCGGCGGCGGGGTCCGGATCCTGCGCCAGCACCGGGGACGCGCCGCGGGCGGCGAGCAGCACCACCAGGAGCAGCAGAAGCAGCGCGCCGACGCGCTGCAGCGGCGTGCAGTGCCGCCGAGGGGGAGGCCCCCGGCGTCGGATGGCGCCGCGCATGGCAGCGGTGCAGCGTTCAGCGATCAGAGTTGACCTCCATGTGTCAATGTGGCGGTCGGGACGCCCTTTTTAGGGCGTTGGCTAGGGCGGGTGAGGGGTGTGTGCTGGTCGGGAGGCTCCTAGGCAGGATCTGACAACAATCCGATTTTCGAAATCATACGAGCCGGTGTATGTGACACAGCCAGAGGGATCCCCTCTTTGTCCTGATTGCCGCAGTGGTGCAACCAAACTGTTGGAAATGGTCGAGACTCTTGTGTTACATGGAGTTGCACGCAGAAAACGTGTGATTTTGTCTCGCATTGTCTCCTTAGCAGCGCTCGTGATGCTGTATGGAGCAGCCGGGCGACCAGGGCGGCGTGCACGTGTCCGCCTCGCGGCCACCGACCCACGGGACGCCTCACTGCCTTGGGGGCGGCGCAGCCGGCCAGGCGCAGCCGGGTCTTATTCGCAGCCTGCTGCCACGCTGAGGCCGTTGACAAACTGATGCTATGTGCGTGCACTATGATCCCCCAAAGTATTGAGGCTGCTGCGCCGCTCACCCATTAGTGCGTCTGGAGCCTGTGTGCAGCCGCCGCCCCAAGCGCTGGCAGGCCCCCGCGAGCGAGCAGCCAGGCCCTCTTGTTACATCCTGCCCCTGTATGCAGCACGCATGTTCGCACATTTGAACAAGTATTACATATGCGCCCGGGCGCGGCCTCAGGACTCAAAGTGCTGCCGGATCGCGTCCGCGGCCGCCCTTGCGCTGATGACGGCGCCCTCCACGCCGCCCCCCAGGCAGAAGTCCCCGCACGCCGCCAGCCGCGCGGCGTCCGCGCGCAGGCACGTGCTGCCGACTGGCTGCGAGGGGAACGCGCTGCCCCACCTGCGGCGAGGGGATTGGGCGTGGGCGGCGGGGGCGGGGATTGCCGAAACCGCCGGTAACGGAGGAGCTTGGCCCCTGCGAGGAGCTTGGCGCGCGCGGCGCCCTGCGCGGGCGGCGCGGCGTCCGCCGCGCGCACAGCCAGCCAGGGGCGAGAGCCGCCAGCCCACGGCGGCTCCCAAACCCTCCACACATGATCCTCAACCTCGGCGGCCGGGGGCCGCTCGCCCTCCCTCCGCACTCCGCCCAAAACGGCCCCTTGTACCCCCTCACTCTGAACCCGGCCTCAAAACCAACCCCATGCAGGCGCTTGGGCATAAATCTAACCATGTATCCGACCATAAAGTCCACCAAGAATTTCAAAAGCACAGACTCGTCCATGAAACCAACCACGAATGCAACCCACACCTGTGCGCCTGGATGTATGCCGGCTCCGGCAGCTGCACCCCCGCCGCCGCGAGCGCGCGCCGCAGCGCATCGTGCAGCACCGGCGCCAGCGCCGCGAGCATCTCGGGCGTCTGCGGCGGCAGCGAGCCGTCCGCCGCGCGCGGCGCGAGCTTGGCGCTGAGCGCGGGCGCGGCGAGCGCGACGATGCACTGGGCGCCGTCGGGGCGGGCGCGGCCCTGCAAGGGCGGTGGCGAGGGGTGTGCCACAGGGACAGGTGTGTTGAAGGGTCAGCAGAGGAAGGCGGGGGCGGCGCCTGTCCGAACTCTGGACGAGACTTGGCGACGGGCGCCCCGATGGCCGTCCCGGCTCCAGGCGTCCCACCAATGCTTTATCTGCTGCACTTCCTTCGGTGTCCCCTCAAAACTCCAGCGACCAACCAGTCCACCAACCAACCGACCAACAAACAACCAACCGACCAACCAAAGAACCAACCCACCAACCACCTAACAAACTGACCGACCAACCGACCGACCGGCTCCATTCCACCCCCGGGCCGCCCGCCGCCCACACACGCGCGCCGCGCCGCGGCCGCACGCGCGCGCGCGCGCCCTCCCACCCACCGGCTTCGCGCTGTCCAGCGCCACCCAAGCGATCTCGTCCGACCCCCGCAGCGTCGCGCCGTCAAACGGCAGCAGCGGCGCCGGGGCGCCCTCGTAGCCGACCATGAGGGCGAGGCAGGTGTCTGTTTTGACGGCCGCCACGTCAGCAACTAGCTTGGCGGCCGCGTTGGAGCCGGCGATCTCCACGTGGCCCGGGGCGCCTGCGAGGCGGGGAATGGAGTGTGCTTCACGCGCAGGCACGCACATGCGTGTGTATCCACGAATATGCACGCGAGCCGGGTTGCGGTGCCCAGCCATTGAAAGAGGCAGCAGCACAGCATAGCTCCCGCCCTGGCAGACCCCACCAGCGCCCCACCCCCACCAAC